TCACACACATAGGCCCAAATCACACACATGCACAAAAAGGACATGTAGACATGCATTAGTGGAGAGATGTCAGAGTGGGGCTGCTATGCAGGGATTGCACCAGAGCGGTTGGGGGTTCAGTGCCTTGCTTAAGGGTACTTCGGCAGGGCTCTCCAGCTACCAGAACAATGTCCATATTTTGGTCCGCACCAAGACTTGAAACGGCGACCCTCCTGTTCCCAACACAAGTCCCCACAGACTGACAGATTTTAGTTTAGTTAAATCAGAAGAGCAGCCGCCGCCTGTATTTAATGAAGAAAGTGGAGCATCTTTTCACAAATAAGGGTTTCACAAATAAGGAAATTCTTCTTTTTTTGGTACATCAGCCTCACATTGTCAGGAGTATCAGGAAACTGAAAAGATATTGCAGGAAACCAGGGCTTTTCCGGAGAAAGAACCAGACTGACTTGGAGGAAATTGTCTCTTTAGTGGTAGAGAAATGGCTTTGAGGGTTCCCCTTTCATCATTTTCTCACAGGCAGATGGCCGCTCTCCTGATACAACCTTTCAGAATAATTTATCCATAGGCTAATTTAAAGGGGACATATTATGTCAAATCTACTTGTACAGTGTTTTTGAACATATATTGGGGTAACCTGAGTGTCTACTGACCAACTAAATGTGAAATAAACCCATCCAGTCTTTTGTTTGTGGTCTGCATAAGTCTTACAACACAGAGAAAAATGTTTGGTTTCAAATGTGCAGTCACAAACCTCCTTGTGATGTCACAGTGGGATTCTGGTTAAAAAAAAAAAATACACTCTCCTCCCCTGGTATCTCCACCAATGGACTCCACCCCCAGCCTAGAACTAAACTTTTGCACAGGTCTGCCATTTTTATTCTCACTACAGAGGAGTGATGTCTACCGGGAAAACTCAGGGGGGTTATTGCATTTAAAGAGACACACACACACCAAAACGGAGCGTTCTGAGAGAGCTGGTTTATACAGGGTCACAAACCTCCTCTGGTGCTTGATTCATGTTAAATTTTGACCAACCATCCTTTCAGGGAATAAAATGTATTTTAACACCCACAATGCTGTGTGAAATTAAATGTAAAAAGTCAAACAAACATCAAAACAGACAAGGATGAATGAGGCCGGTTCGGGTAACGCGTCTTTTAAATGTTAAGTTCTTAAATGGTTTACATGCATGGGTTGCAATTTTTTTGTTTTATTTACTGAGCCATCGGGCGTATCACATCTGAGCTGGAGTGTCAATAACATAAGGCTGCCTAAAGACTCCACTTCCACACTGAATGAATCAGACGAAGTAGGAACAAATATTGGCCTACTGAACAGTAGGTCCTAACAGGATACAGCACGGAGAGAAGGGACTGTCTACTGTCAGATTGTGTAGGGTAGGCACTTTGCAATTTGTAAGCACCCACTAATTGGATCATCATCAAATTCCACTAGTCATGTTCTCACGTTTGTGTACTAAATCACATGACCATTTTCATCAAGACCAACCTTTAAACACGAGACACAAGAATGTGATCGACACATCTTTGGAGTAAAGACACACAGGTGTTACTGATATCATCAGAGCATCTCTGTTCCAATCAGAGCGTCTTGACGCATGTAAACAAGCCGACACGCACTATTCTCTAGCTCCTCTGCAAAGAATGCAGTCATAATGAATGTTATTAGTTACACCTGTGAGTGTTAGAGGCTCTGCTATGAGAAGAGTTTGTGTCCGACATCAGTCCAGCTCACAGTAAGAAAGTCAGATCAGCATTTTGTCCTGTAGTTGTTACAATATTAAAGAAACAGGGGATTATTGACCTGTTGCTACTGTCATCGTCAATTTGAAAAAAGTATTTCCTTCTGTTGGATGTTGGAATCAACATAGAAAATTAAGGTCTGTCAAACTGGCTTCACACTAAACGATTATATGGTGCATTCATGTGGCGTGGGACTTATCAGAAAACCGAGTATCCGAGATGTAAAATGCCTGTTCAAGTGGGAACAACAACTCGGAAGCTCAGAAAATGTGTCATTTACACATGAAGAACAGGGAAGACATGTCTCGTCTCTTCAGATAATCAGGAGCAAATGAGGTCAGCTGACTTTAGTTGATGAATTCAAGTCATGAAATTGATTTTTAAAATGTAACTTGTCAGGGTTATGTAGGAATGCTAAAATGGACGCAATTGAAGAGTCAACAAAAAATATTTATTTTAACAGAAGGCACAAAGGGGAAAAAATATATACTTTCTTATCAAAGTCCAAAAGTAACAAAGGCCAAACACATGGAGAAACAAAGAGCTCAGAAGAATCCAAAAGGAAATACTGAGAAGGTTTAACATATGAGGAACTCTCAAGGAAGAGAAAACAAACAGACAGGACATAGGCGAGGACTGATCAGACACAGGTGAAACTGGTGAAGGCGATCAAAAAGGGAGGGAAGCACACCAAGGGAGGAAGTAACATGAGGCATGATACACAGAGACAAGGCCATAGACTGCAAATATTAATGGATAAATCTTGAGCCATCCATCTGTTCCTGCAGGGGGCTCTGGAGGCTCATCGGCAGCCGCAGCCATGCTGGAAATCCTGTCTCAGCCTAACTTTCAGTCAACCTAATGACAGACTGAGAGCTGGAGCTGAGGCGGGTTTTAAGACTTATAGCAAACTGTTACCTCACACCCACCGATCAATCATGTCAGGTACGCACCTAACTATGGATAACAGTCACGTATCATTCATGAAATCAAAGCAGAATTGTAGTTTTTTTTTTTTTAAACACACCCCATACAGTGTGTGCCCATGAGGACAGTAACAAATCAGACCTATTTCATTTTGTTGAACCAGGTTGTAAACATGTTGAATCGCTGCTGTGAAAACAGTTTTTTAAAATGGATAGGTATGTGACTTCCTGTGCTTCTGCAGCCAGCCTCAAGCGGACACTCAATGAACTGCAGGATTTTGTACTTCGGCATTGGCTTAATTTTTCAACACCGGAGGTTGCCGCTGGGATGAGACCTACAAAATAAAACAGGAAACACTGAAAACTTAATCCAGGAATATGAACAGAGAAACTACATGGAGAAACTACATGGAAACTACATGAAGCAACACAAGGGAGGAACAGGACAAAATTGAAACAGGAAATTAAGTCTACACTGAGATACTTATAAATCACAGAAGACGATAAGTGAACTTTCAGCAGGATGTGAGTCTGAACATTGTGGACTCTCTTCTGTTATGTAACACTCAGTCAGTCCACAGGCATGTCCTGTCATGAGTATTCTGTTAAACACTGACTTATCTTTGTCTTTTTTAAAGGAAGAAGTAAACTACTGTACATCACGCTGAAGGATTATAATTACTGACCCATTATCACTGTCCGGGTGACCCTTCACTGTCTGTTTTTGTTTATTTACTTTTTAATAGAATCAGAAATAAAAGCTTCATCCTCACCATTCTAACAGAATTAATTATTTGGAGACCAGGCCTGGAATAACATTTTCATTTTGCTCGTCCAATGAAAGAATATTGAGTTTGTTTAAGCTCTTGAGCTGTATTTCTTGGAGGTTTCAGCGAGGCCACAGTTCTGCTGCCAGCTTCAGCACAGCCTGCGTCTGCATTCCTCTGCAACAGAGCCACCGACACATCTCCGGACCAAGACGCAGACTTGTCCCTTCAGAAGCAGAGAGCTCAACTCCTGACGGCCACATGTATATAAAAAGAACCAGAAAACATTCCTATGTGCTGCACTCACATGTTGGCCTCATTGTGCAAAACCAGAGGGAAACAAATCATAAGTATTTTACTTGTTTGCACTTTCAGTAACGGTTCCTCGTGTTTGTGAGTGAAGTGATCTGTGCCAAGCAGGGAACAAAGTCGTTCTTTGTTGTTTTAGCAAGCATTTTCCTCCAACAACTCCGGGTGCGTGCATTGTAAAATTAGAAAATAACCAGATTCATGTTCAGGGAGTGTGAACTTTCCACATTTGTCCCTCTGAGTAACATAAACTGAGCTGTTTGCCCGAGGTCAATTTGGCACCTAAAACATATTCCTCAACCTGCTGAGAGAACAGACGTACAGAGAACAATAAACATTGTTCTTCCTTTAGCTACATGACATTTTCTCCTTAAACTGAACTCCTGAAACGGGGGCTGACAAAGACAAAGAGCTCAACCGAGGCAGGAAAGAATGATGATTGAAGCTGGATGTTATAAGGGCGGCAGTAGCTCAGTCTGTAGGGACTTCGAGGGTCGCCGGTTCAAGTAGCTGTCTGGTAGCTGGAGAGGTGCCAGATCACTTCTTGAGCACTGCCGAGGTGCCCTTGAGCAAGGCACCAAACCCCCTACCCACCACTAGCTCAGAAGTGCCTGCCGGGGGGTGGCTCCATCACTCTTACATCTGCATGTCCATAGGATCCTGTTTGTGCATGTGTGCATGTGTGCATGTATATTTCAGTGTTGCATGATTACAGAGTGTAAAAACAGAATTTCCAGAATCAGAAAACACTAACTATCCCTTTAAGGACAGAAAACAAATAAACAGAAGTAAGATGATGCTGTTTAAAATGTAAACAACAACTGGAAAAAGAAAACAAAGTGTCATGATCACGTACCTGTGACTTATGTGAGCAGCATGAATGAAAAATGAAAGTGTGTCTGTGAACTTGATGACAAGTAGCTGAAAACTTTGAGCGAGGGAATGACGAGCAGAGAGAGAAAGAGGGGGGTGGGGGGGATCAGATGTGGACCTCTCCATGTGGATTGGGAGAGGTAGAGAAAGACCAAGGCTGAGGAGACAGAGAGAGAGAGAGAGAGAGAGAGAGAGAACACTAGTGATGAAGACGGTGCACAGAACGATGCAGGCTGCAACAGATGCTCGGGTAAAGAGAAGAGGAAAGCAACAGTGAGAGAGACACAGTGCATATACGGAGAACTCCAGCCCTCTGCTGAAAGCCAAATACATGAGAGTAACATCGAAGTGTGCAGACAACCATGCTGCTGAGTTGGAGGATGCTCGTTGTTGGTGTTTTCTACTGCTGCATCAAAGCAGCCGTCAAAACATCCAAACAAGGTAAGACCTGAACTGAAGCTCCACTTTTCAATGCAGGATGCAAATAACTAAATGAGGAGGAGGTTATCATGTAAAGATCCTCTTTTTGTTTATTTTACTGCACAAAAGAAGAATATTCTGCAGAAATGTTGATGTCATCAGGAAAAGTAAGAATGTAATGTATCAATTTCTGTATGGCACAAGAGTCACAGAGTTTGATTTCTGCTTTTGGTGACAATATTTTGTGAGATCTTTTACTGTTTGTTTTATATTAAAAATGATTATATGAGTATTTAGACTGTAGACTGTCTTTAGTTGAGCTGTATCACAATAAATAGCTTCTTTATTCTCATCTTCACTGTCACATTTTAAATGATATCTAATTAAATATTGTAGAAAAGGGTTTTCTGCACTTCTCCTGCAGACACAAAACCATGCAGTCTAGCTCATCTTCTTTAAAAACAACTCCAGATTTTAAAGAGCAGGATACAAAATAATTTGAAAACTGCAGTTGAAAATTATTCCAATCTCTTAAGCGTGGTATACTCTCCAAGACAATCAGGACACTTTTGGGCTAGATTCCTCTGTTCCAGCATCCTAAACAAAAAATGTTGTTAACTAACTGAACCACAGAGTTAGAGGAGTTTGTCATCTCTCAACTGGAAGGTCATGGGTTCAATCCCCAGGTCTTGCAGCTACATGTCCGATATGTCCTTGGGCATATTTGAGTTGCTCTCGCTGCTACATCGGCGGCGTGTGAATGTGTATGAATGGATTAGTGATGATCTCTTTCCACAGCAGCCTCTACCATCAGTGTGTGAATGTGTAGGTGTGACATGCAGTGTAAAAGCGCTTTGAGTTGTCAGAAGACTAGAAAGGAACTATACAAGCTCAAGTCCATTTCTCTTTTACCGTTTAATATATACGGTAAAAAAGTGATTCTGTCTGATTAGAAAGACGTCTGGGTCCACCTTTATTTCAAATCATAAATATCAAACCAAACATGTTTTTTTCTTGGGGCTTTTGACCTGTATTGGATGAGATAGAGGACAGAAAAGGAAATCCGGATGAGACAGTGGGGAAAGAGCCACAGGAAAGTGCCACAGGTTGGACTTGATCCCAGATCGCCCACTTGTAGGACTAGTGACCCCTTTCATGGGGAGCGAGCTAATTGCTATAGGCTATCTGCGGCCTGTAAACATTAAACATCCAATCTCCTGTCTTGTTGGGTTAGACCACGACCGAGCACACACTCAGTGGATTGTCACATGGTACAAAACGACAGCCAGTTGGGAAGCGAGCTGACTGAAGAAGGAAGCTCAACAACCGCAGCAAATCCATATTTACTCACCTCCAGCTCACGCTCTAACATGCTCACACGCATCAATGAGGCTGGATTGGATTGGAATGGATTTTTGGGGGCGATACCAATATTGGGGAGGGAAAAAAATCTGGTACCAATATATCGACCGATATCTTTCTTAGACCTATCTTCGATTTGTAGAGACAGAAAGATATAGATATACACATGTATTGTGTTAATCCCTCAAATGTAGTTATCAAACACTTGTGGAAAAGATATTTAACCACGACAAGATGGTCACTCAACAGGAAATAACTGCCCATGAGCATGCATCACCACTTGACTCTGGAGAGTGATGATGTTTGTTGTAATCCATATAGTGCCCCCTGCTGGTGAAAGAGAACTGCTAGTTTAAAACAATGAAACTCAAATAAAATGATATTTGACCGGTGAATACATCAGTTAAACTTGAAATTCTTCCTGCCCCTCATCCGCCATGTTTGTTTACTCCAAAATCGAGTTGACTACCAAAAGTTTTGCAGGATTTGTAGTTTTTAAAGTCAGGACTCAATCTGTGAGTGTGTGCTGTGCTGTTTTGGTCAAATCTTTGCTCTCCTCATACCATAAGAGAACAACAGTTAAATCTATGATTATTTGTCGTCCTGTGAGGGCTCTCTCTCAACCTTTCAGTGTGGGCCAGGCTTTAGACAAAATATGTTAACTCTCATCTCACCACCAGGATCAGATCTGCACCTGTTTCTGATTGTAAAATAATGAGAGGGTCCCAAACTGATAAGAGAGGAAACTCGTTTTCCTCAAGTGATTAAAAAGCATACCGCTGAGATATTCTGTCCAGCTCTGTCAGGAAATTCCTCCTGTATAATAAGTTGAGCTCTTTTGTGTTTTGATAAGAGTTCTGGGTTTTATCTGAGTGAAACGAACACCACACACATACAGAGGAAGATGACTGCAGTGCAATATTTCTGATGGCTGCAGTTTTTTGTTTTTGGCTGTGGACCGTTCAGTTACAGGAAGTCTCAAATCAAAACTGGATTCCACAAGCAGTGAAAAGCTGGAGTCTCAAGAAGTTCACATTTTTTGTCAGTATCATCACTCAGATAAATTGCTCAGGTGGTAAACACATGAGTGCTGATTAAGTTTTTCTTTCTTTTGGTATGTCTGGGTTTTTGTAAACAGTCCCTTCTCAGTGCCAGCTGGAGCCTGCCAGGCATGTGAGTCTGCCCAGCAGAGATAAAAGAGAAACATGTGATCTGAGCACACAGAGCACATGATCCTTTTTTTGTTATTTCCGTTTTGGAATGGCCGCTTACATCAGCAGATTAACAGGCCAACAGAATCAGTGATGATCACAATTCTGTGTGATACCATCCTGACTCCGGTAAATATACCGTGAAACATTTCAATTGTCATATTTCAATTCAATGACAGGACAGCAAAATTGTTGCAGAACATAGATAAGATGGACATAGTGTGTAATGTGAATAAAAACAGAAAGTGATGATTTTAAAAAACCTCAAAACTCCCATTTTTAATTAAAAACAGCACAAAAACCACATCAACCTGAGAGTCTGGGAAATGTCATTGTTTCAGGAGTTCTCTTGCCCGCTTCCATCGCTGCAACACCTGTTGGTTTGACCTGATAACTGCTCTCATATCTGACAAACCGAGGGGTGTCCAAACCGGCCGTGTGGGGTGCCTTAAAACCGCCTACCTTCTCCGGTCCAAACAAATCCAGAGCATTCAGGTCCAGAATCTAAAGTTAGAAGGAGGACATACTGACTGCTGCATTGTTGTCAGAGAAGCCAGCACTTCAACATAGCATGTTTCCTTAATGTCTGATCATATAGTAAGGTCACTTTATCATTTCACTTACTACACATCTTACTGGTTGGACCTTTATCTGTCAACTGTTACTCCTTCATCCATTAATATTTACAGTCTTTGTTTTGGACACTGTCCATGTCTGTGAGCAAAGTTCATTACTGTATTCTCAAGATCAAGCTGAATCTGCCACACAAAGAGGAAACGGTTTAAACCTTTTTCTAGAACTGTTGCCACCATCTCTGGGTCAGGGCTCCTTCAAGATGAACTGAAACAAAGTAGAAATCGGTCCTGAGGTCTGATGAGTCCAAATTTGACTTTCTATTTTGAAATAATGGACTCTACATTCTTTGGACCAAAGAGAAGAGGGGCAATCCAGTTTATCCTCAGCACACAGTTACAAAGCCAGCATCTGTGAAGGTGGTGATGGCATTTGTTCACATGTCATGGGGTCACCTGCACACAGCTATGTTTTCTACTCGGGTTCTTTGGTAGGATATACGGTGCAAAGCGTTGTTTCCTGTATTGATTATTTAGGATCTCTCTCCAAGCACCATAATGATCTTGAGTGGTTTACATGATCTCGCAGAAGTCTATTAAAACACCAACATCTGGATACACTTGTTAAGGCAGACACATAAACATTTGGAGAGCAGGTGACTCTGGCTTAAGTGTTTGTGATTCATATCGTCTAATGAGACATAGTTCACGAATTTGTCACAACATCTTGAATCCAGACTAAGCTGTTCAGGATTCATGCTTTTGTTGTGTTGCATCTTGTAACATCAACATGTAACATCAAAGAATACACTGTCTACATTTCTGCATGATGGGGGGGTAATTCTTCTTGTCTGCAATGACTTAATGTCTGTAGTGGATGTTGACTTTTCTTCTTCATCTCACACCTCCTGCTGTTCTTCTTTTCATCTACCCAACATTATTACCTGATCTGTTGGGGCCCAACATATGAAATGTAAACTGGCTGAACTCCAGATTTTGCACACATTGATGAGAAACAGCCGGCAAAGAATGTTTGAACCCCTGACCTTCCAGTTGATAGATGACCGACTCTACCACTGAGTCAAAGCTGCCCCAGTTGATGGTGAAATGTCTGGTGAAAGTTGGATAGACTAACGGCAAATTTAGTTTGGTGACAAAAAAAGTTAATCCTAAGGACTCGGCACATTCTCTGACTTTACCTTTTTCATCCCCATGTGATTGCATTTGTAATGTCTCAGCAGTTATTCGATGTATTTGGAACAGACTTTCACGTATAGACCCCTCAAGATGAAGTTTGGTTGGACAGACTCTAAAAAACATGGACATAGTCTAAGTTAAGTTACCCATTGGTGTCTGAAGTAAAGTTTTTTAGGCCAGTAAGGCGGTCGTCATATTTAAAAAAAAGGCTGCCTCAAATTAACTTTACTTTCCGTCAATAACAGGCAAAGAGGGGAGGGCCTTACGCCTCCTAGCCAACAGCTACAATGCACCTGGCTGTCCATCAGATCAACCACACCCCTAATTATGCAAAACTCAAATTTAAAACAGATAAAATATAAAACAGGTTGTGTGCTAACAAAGACATGAGCTATTCAGACCAAAACCATTATTTGAACCAGGCTGTAAACATGTTAGTTTCTGCTGTTAAAATGCACACTTCAATATAGGACCCAATTGGGACTCAGATTTTTGGCAGTCAGTCTCAAGTGGACATGTTTGGAACTGCAGTTTTTTATACTTCTGCATTGGCTTCATTTAAAACACCGGAGGTTGCTGCTCATTGAAAAGGCAGAAATCCAATAATTCGGTCTAACCAAATACCATGATGCATTATGGGAACATTATGACAGAACCTGAGATCACACCTTTCGACACCCACACACAGGTTTTCAGGTTTCCCGGATTACACTGGGTCAAACTTGCAGCTATCTTCCTGCTAACTCCAGCCCTTCCATTGTCTTTCTCCTGTGTTAACACATATTTAATTTCTAAAATGTGAGTCAGGATGTTGCACAGATTTTTGACACGACTTCACTTACCTATCAGCTTGTTAGCATGCTCATCTATAGCATGTTTTCGTGATGAAATGAGGCGACGCCTGCAAGATAGTCAACTCCAGCTGCACTGATTTTACACTTGACATGCCTCATTCTCAACTATCACCTGACAACAACTCTTACCATCTGGTGGTCTATTTATGCCACAGGAGTCTCTGACCTGCTCCAGCACTGCCATCTTGCTCAGCCCCGCCTCCTCCTCCCCAGCATCAGACTGCAGGCTCACACTGGGGGGGGGGGGTTTCAAGATATCATCCCATCACGCCTCATATTTCTGCATGTAAAATTTGATGAAGTCGAAGCCTAGATGCCAAATACAAACTTTGTTCTGTCCCAAAAAAAACATTTTAAACAAATACAAATGTGACTTGTCTCACTGAAGCGATTATTTTTGTGAATGATTAGTTAAATTTTTTTGTTCAGTCTTTAATGTTGCCAGTACTTCAACTTTGCATGCAAAGCCAAATACTCTCTCATGCTCAAGGTTTTAACTCTTAGCTCACAATTGACTGCACAAGATTAGTCATGTTAAACCCGGTCTAAACTGTGGCTTTATGGACTGCCTCAAAACGGGGTTATGAAGCTAAACCCACACAGTACATACTGAAATAATCTGGAGCCTGTAGTATAATCCATGTGTTGGTCCACCTTTGATTCATCAGAGCCTTTTGAAGTTTGAGGTCACGTCTCACCACCTGCAGATAGAAGTCATCTGTAAGGGTCAGAGGTCGCAGACTTTAAAACGCACAGTGTGCATGTGATAGATGCACAGCAGCATACCGCAGTATGAGCATGATGATCCTGGATCTCACATGTGCCAGAACATAGGCACCTGATAAATCCTGTATTTCATGGCACCTCAAAGTTTTTATTAGCCTGTCACAGGGATTCCCAACTTAACCGATTCAAGACACCTTCTGGGTCCACAGCAATATATATCACAGGACTATAATAAGATGAAATTTAAAAGGAAATGTTAGCATAGCAATCTGCTCTTACATATTCCACCAGCCCTCACTCTCCCTGTCTGTCTCTCTTTACCTGCCAGCCCTATTTCCAGCCGCGAGCAGGGTAAAAAGAGTGTCTATGGAAAACCCCACCTTTCACAACTCCCTGGATAATGTCAACCTTTTATTTGAGGTGAGACAAAGAAATACGTAGAAAGTGTATTTAAAGTGTTCAATCAGCCTAAATAATTGTTCTCTTCTTCCATCAGATCTTGCTGGCTGGCACACATTTTGAGACCAGCGGGGAGTTTTCAGTGCAGGACGCCGAGCTGGCTTCGCTCCGCAAGACGAGAAACCTGGAAGTCGTCTGTGAGGAGATAATTCCCCGGAAGCTAACGGACATATTTGAGCTCATCGCGAACCTCTCAAATCAGACTGGTCGTTTGCACCCGGACGACTTTGAGCGCACCCTGCTGACCCTGGTCTTCACCGCCCAGCAGATGGTTGAGTCCACCGGACAACAAAGAGATGTTTGGGCAGAGTCCTTTGTTAGTTTGTACAAAGCCATTAAGCAGGATCTGACAGGGAGAAACTGATTATTTTCTTCTTTTAAGATATCCACTGAGATCAGTGCGTCACCCTGATTTGTATCAAGCGGTGTTTAAAACAATGCATCATGGGTATTTGCAGCCTATGAGAAAGTCCTGACAAACAAACCGTGTCCACAGTTTGATAAAGTGCATAGACCGATAAAAACACAACTTTTACAATATTGATCCTACAAAGCGTGCTTCTCTAAACATGAGGTACGGTATAGACATGAAACCAGACAGTGGGTTTGTACACTAGTATTTAAACTTAAATGAATCTACTTTGACTCATGTCTCTTCAGTGTTTGTTCTCTAGCACCCTCACCTTCAAGACGGGTTCAATCAAAGAAAACTAAAAATCAATCTTTACCCAAAAGAATCAGTGTTAAACTATAAAGTGTTAGTGCTCCATGAATACTAATTACTGTAGTGAATAAAGGGATTGAAGATTAAATATAAATGTCAGACTTTTATCATTCATAATTTACAAAACAACCCATTAACACTTCAGGTAACTAAATACAATCCTCAGTAAAGTCCATATATCAACAGATCTAATGCAAGCTGTTATTTGCAGACGTCACCTCATGTGAAATACTTTGCACCACGTTTCTACAGTACAGTGTCTTTGACGATGAACAGGAGGTCCAAACTAAGCTGCCTATTACTGTATGGTTTGGGGGAAGAAAATCCTCAAAATGCCACGCTGAGGAGAGAACACCTCTCAAAGAGTGACTCCGATGATGAGCTGTGGAGGCTCCGGATGTCCTAGGGGCCGCTTAGACTCCAGGGCGTCGCTCTCCAGCGAGGTGGACACACCAGGAGGAAGGAAAGGTACAAAGCGGAGCCAGGAGGACGAAGACGAGTAAGAACTAAGGCCGAAGGGAAGGTTGTAGACCTCTCCGCTCTCCAGAGTGTTGCTGGAGTCGTCCTCGTGAGCCTTGTTCCAGGCCAGGATGCCTCGTTCATGCTTTGATCCTGTTGGACATGTGTAAAATGGGTTAAAGCATACCATGGGAGGATACCTAGAGGGCCTCTTAGTTTGAAATGCTTTTGTCAATTTTAAACTGCTTTAAAATAAAGTTGAACATTCAGTATTTTTGCAGTCTCTACAAACTACTTTGCAAAGAGCTAAAAAAAAGCATAATGTTGCTTTAAAGCTAGAATATGTAAATGTTCAGCATAAAAATTGCCGTTACAAAGGTTGATTCAATAGCACAATGTCTTTAAAGGAAGAATATGCAATTTTTAGATCCAGTAGATGTCGCCCTTTAGCACCAGCATTAAAACCAAAAAAGACAACAAACTGCTGTCTTTTCTGAAGCCTCTGCTCTCACCTCCAACACACCTCCAACCCCCCTCTGAGTTATCAATTAGAACGCACCATAATTAAGCACAAATAAGCAAAATTGTCCACCGCTTGCGTACAGCTTTACAGCACTAGTTTATACAGCATCCTTTTGAAAAGTTTGATAAAGCAGCCAGTTAGCTCGTCTCTGTATAGTTTGATACAACGGCTGAGACTAGAGGAAGAGGACAGTGACTGATGAAGCTAAGAACAGAAAAAGAGAAAGAGTGACCGAGCAGGAAGCAGAGTGTACATCCCTGCAGATATTATACAGATGGTCTCATGTTTAGCAGCTTTACCAGCTACAGAAGGTCATCTATCTAACCAAAGTAACATCTCAAGTTTCATACAAATAACCAATGAATCCATTTTACACCAAAACATTGACAATGGGCTGTAAATGCTAGCAGAGTCAGATTTGTGCTAAATACAGTATTTTTACAGTCAACATCGTTGATTGGCTTCTCACAAAAACTCTCCCCTCTGATTGTCAACAAATGAATGTTGTCTATGAGGGGGAGGCGTAACAGCAGTGTGTGTTTACGGCAGTGTAGTTACACTCAGAAACCTTCGGTGGGCGCCAAAGCACACCAAACCAAATTTCAACATATTGGTGCTTTACGACAACAGGAATATAAAACAAATTTTAAAACATGTGTTGCTGAATCTTTGCTAACTCTAGACCTAAATTTGAATGGATGATGTCTCATAACGGTGACCCTACTTCTAAAAATGAATAAACTAAATTATTAACCATGCCCAAGATATTGCATGCATCAATTGTCCCTTAAACTGTTATGATTATCGCTCCTAACAATTACTACTAAACCTCTCAAATTTCTCTTTATTGACTCATCACATGATGTTCCTGCTGGATCCATGGACAAAGTGCAAAGATTGTGAATTGCATCTTTTCGTAAATCTGATTAGATGATTACTTTGGTGATGTAAAAGTTTAAAAACAAAGGTTGATACTAATAAATTAAATAAACTTATTATAACTCAGTGAAATATGAAACAATACCTGGAATTGTGTTGTCCAGTATGAAGCCAAAGAAACCTCCCACAAACATGCTGGTGGTCAGGAGAACTTGCAGCACCTGGTCCAGTTCAACCACACCTGTGATCACAACACAATTAAATAAGTCAGAACTCTTAAAAATAATAAACTCGTAAATATGATGCATTGGAGAATATATATTCATGTTTCATGCACCTGTAGCGATAGCTTGTTGATTCTTTAATATCCAGTTGGGAATGACGAGACCGGAGAACATGGAGAAGCCAAAAATGAAGATGTTTCGAGATGAATTCATATCGGCATACTGCAAATGAGGGGAGAAAAAAAGAAGAGAAAATATAAGCGCTTTTTTGTAGTCAATGTTGAAAAAATGGCCTTAATGGTTTTAAAGCGTGTACCTGCAGATTAGAAACTCCTGCAGCAGATATGACTCCAAACATTACCAGGAACATCCCTCCGACCACAGGGGAGGGGATCGTGGTGAATATAGCACCCACTTTACCGAACAAACCCATGATCACCATCAAGACTCCACCGGCCACGATCACCATGCGACTGCCAACCTGTCACGATAAAATAGAAGAGAAAAATGTAAGTTTTCAAACTCTATCAACTAACGAAAAAGGTAGAAGAATTCATGCTTAGCTGCCATTGGCTGTACAAAACATGGATGTCGTAGTCTCAGTGACGTAAGCCATTTGTTTCTCATGAGGCAGGTTTTTTTGTCTTTATAGGAAAGGACAGCTGAAGAGAGACAGGAAATGCTGGAAAGAGAGAGTGGGGGGATGACATGCAGCAAAGGGCCGAGGCCGGATTCGAACCCAAGGCCACTGCAACAAGGACTGCAGCCTCTGTACATGGGGCATGCATCATAACTACCAGGTGAACTGGTATCCCCTTAAAGACGTGTTTTAAAGCTGAATGATGGCAGTCACCAAATTTGTAATGATATCTCGGCCTGACTTTGAGTCAAAGAAAATAACAGACAGAGAGATGGAGTTAGGGCGGGCCTTTAGCCTCCTAGAAAATAGCTACAACCCGCCAACCTGTCGGTCAACTCACCATCGCCACTGGTTATGCAAATTTTGTGAATAACTCTTAGGCTTCATAAAATTAAAACAGTTAAGTTTTTGTTTTTTTTTCAACTCTCAACCCCTGTACAGTGTGTACCTGTAAAGAAATAAGCAACTATTACCAAATGTGTCATTTGAACCATGTTTGATTCTGCTGTAAAAATTGTTATTTTAAAATTTGACCTAATGGGGATTAATTTGCTTTTGTAGCCAGCCTCAAGTGGACACTAAATGAACTGCAGTTCTTTGCAATTCTGCATTGGCTTCATTTTTTTAAAGGTTGGAGCTTATTAGCTGAAAATGTTCTGTTTCATTTGTTTTTCTTCTTGTTTGTACTCTGTATGTCTCTAGCTCTGTCTTTACCTCTATCCCCTCTCCAAACCAAACTCAGTCTCAGCAGATGGCAACATGAGTCTGGTTCTGTCAATGGAAGTTTTTTCTTAGCGATGTAACTTTGCTAAATGTTTCAAAGTGCTGTGCTCATGCTGGATTAATGTAAGGTCTCTGTAAATTAAATAACAAAGAGTACGGTCTAGATCTGCTCTATTTGTAAAGTGGCTTGAGATAACTTTTAATTGATACTAATTGATTGTTACACAGAGGTCCATCTTACCTTTGTAATACCGAGGGCTCCGACATTCTCGCTGTATGAGGTGGTACCATTCCCAGTTCCCCAGGCTCCAGCCAGCAGACAGCCCAGTCCTTCAATCCCAATACCCCTGTTGATAGCATGTTTAGGGGAAGGTGGAGCCCCAGAAAGTCTGGCACAAGCATGGTAGTCTCCTACTGACTCTACCATGGAGGAAATCACACCAGCCAGGATGCCAACCACCCCTGCCAGGCTCACAGTCGGGACCCCCCACTGACCTGAGATTGGATTCAAAGAATGACATAGAAGTTACAGCCTAGCTATGTTATTTCCTTTATCATTTATTGATAGAAAAAAGGCCCCAAGTTACCTGGGTAAGGAAAGGTGAACCAGGGGGCTTGGCCCATAACATCTCCCTTTAGATCAGTGCGAGCTCTGTAACCATACTGGTCTGGATCAGTAGGAAACACATTGTATATTGTCAAAATGTAGCACACGAGCCAAGACAAGCTGACACCGAGCAATACCTGAGGATATGAAGAAAAAAACAACTTTCTTGTCTTGTTGTCTAAAGAAATAATGAATGATAATAACATACACTGATCAGATCAAGGACAAAATCAGATGTAACATTATGACCACCTGTCTATCAAATGCAATCCAATACAGTTGCTCTGGCAAAATTTTGACTTTTTGAAGTGACATTTTCAGATTTTGTTGGCAAGGTCAAAAAGATGGTAAGGGGCGAATATTAAGGAGACTTTTTAAATTGCACCTGACACTGAGGTGCCCTCTTAAGGAAGGTACAGAGCAGGCTGTTCTTCCTGAGGAGACTCAGACCGTTCAGTATCTGCAACAGACTCCTGAAGACCTTCTAGAAGTCTGTGGTGGCCTGTGCATGTGCACTCTTCCTTGCTGTGCTGGCGGGGTGGCATCAAGACTGAGTGAGGCAAGCTCATTCAACAAGCTAGTGAG